CCTTAGCAACTAGACCTTACAAAGGAAGGCAAACTGAACATAAATGTTTGAATTAACTCGGAATGAGAATAGATATGTGAAGAGTTATGTCGACCTAAGAATTCCTAACGAACGATGAAAAATGACAGATTTTGTGATTGTAACAATGAAATTCAACAGAATCTGAGTGGTAATGACTATGTAATGATTGAAAATGACTCGCAAATCCCAATAGAGGCAGTCTCAAGACAAAGTGGAATTGATCCTTGCAGAATATGAGATCAGAGCCATACGGAGTGGTCGCTCGGTCATTCTCACATGCAGCACAAAGCTTGATAGTGGGATCAAAGATGCAAGCCTCCTGTAGCCGATCTACCTACTCTTGAGTGATCGTTAATCAATCGGTTGAAACGATCAACCGAAGGCTTTTGGAGAGTACTTTGGAGCCACCAAAGCTGAACACAATGAGCAGAAAGACGACGGGATGAGGAGAGGCGAAGAGAAAAGGATAGTACTAGTCAAACATCAATCAAACCACTCACTCTTATATATGGAAAAATAGAATAAGCATAACTGCCACATAGGGGTAAAAATAGATTTGCATAATAATGTCAATAACACGTTAATAGAAGAATCAAATCAACATATGAATCAAGAAGAGATAAATAAATTTTATTTCAAGAAAAAAAGATATTACAAATTATACTCGGAAGCTAGTCAGAGAGAAAATATTTTATAAGGGGATCACTCGCTCCGTCATCCAATCTGAATCGACTTGATATTGGAGTATAAAGCATCTATCCAGGACGTCCGACAGTTCCTGATGAAGAGCGTTCTTCTCTTCCTCTATTCTCTCCACTTTCTCCACATGAGTAAGCAGCTCTTGCATCTTCTTTCCTTGTTGGATTTCACCTAACTAAGCGAATGAGTTCTCAATCTCGTCCAGAAGGCCAACCAGTGATCCAAGAGAGACCGGATTTCCAATAGTTGCTTCCCACATGGGTTTCGATAGGATTTTATGGGCAGTCAACCCTGCCATGCTTGCTCGAGACTCGGCTGCCCTTGACTAGCACATGGACAGACGTCGCTGGCCCCACGATCAAATTCACACCAACATTTGACGAAGGTGAATCATTGCCAAGGATTTTCGAGACCAGGTTAATTGCACGAAAAGATAACACAAGGAAAAAAATACATGAAAAATCCAAATCTAATAGGCAAGATTGAGACTCCTCATACAATAGAATTGCACACCGCACTCACCAGGTGGTGCTAGAGCATTCACAGTTTCTTGCGCTTCGAGCGTCAGCAACATCAACAACTTTTTGCATGACCCGTTCGGTTGGCAGGTTTTTGTTCCCCATTAGAAGGTTGAGCCGATGGATTGATAGTCGGGTCAGTTGTCTAAGTTTTTCTCTGCCTGCCGATGAATGATCAGACAATCCCACTGAATCCTTCAACACAACCACCTTTATTTTCTTTTTCTTTTACTATCCGAGCGATACCACTCCATTGGTCTCTTAATGGCAGCATAAAGCAGAATCTTTACTAAGGACTTCAATCATAGGATTCAACACGTTCTCCATCACACTGCTTGGAAGTCATCCAATTCAGACCAAAAGGGATGCAAAATAAATATGGAAAGCAAAGAGCCTCATCACACGATCAAAGCGCAAAAATTGAGTAAATTTAATTATTGAATCATTTACTAATAATAAATGTGATACAATTTTTTGCATTAAATTTTTTTATTCTTATCACAACGTTACTTTCAAAAAGTAAGCGAATTTGAGAAATAGATTATGTACATAGAATGTGTCAGCACTAATATTGAGAAGATTTGACGCCTAGTGGAGAAGAGTACGATGTAGCAGGGCCCATTGATAGAAGACTATGTGACCCACTTATCCGACTGGATGCAGCCAGTCAAACCAAAGCTGAAATCAATCGAGCCACAAGCATGAAAAAAAGATGACTAAGTGATTCAAACCCTAACCATTCAGACTGAAATGAGACAAATAGACATACAAGCTAAACAATATAGCAAAACAAACCCAATACAATAGCCTACCTTCTTGTAGAGCCGATCCAAGAAATCATCTAATTTCTCAATACCACCAACCATCCCATAGACGCCCCTTAGGTTTTTTATCACGGATAAAGAATTAACAATACAACAAAGAGTCTCATAGTCATCCTTTAGGCTCTCATTGTTAAGGAGCAAACAACTTATCGAGTTATGACGATTCACCTTCTGCTCGATAGTCTCACGTCGCACTGCCTACATGAGTTTCTCACCATGGATCAATGGTCGACAATTAGACTAGATCAACTGATTGACAACATCGAACAAGCCAAAGTCGAACGAACCGTTCCTGCCAACCCAACGCCAATCAAGTTCAACCAACCAAACCAAAGAGTCGCCGAGCAATACACTTATACATGTAAAATATCTAAAATATTATATACAACCCGATTAAAGCAGTGGTAAAAGTGTAACATCACAATATCATACTCTCTCTTCTATAAATAGGGAGATTATTTTATGCATAAGAGAAGCCAAAAGGATTGCCATGATCGACACAACATTTTACTATTTATTATTGTTCATTCTTCTCTCTGTCTCTTTCTTTCTTTCTATCCTCTCCTTTCTTGCGATCCATTTTTAGACTTGATTTACGGACAAATCATGATTCAACAATTGCCTTCATGGATCTTTATGAGGAGTGATTAATTGAACATTGTGAGATGTTGGGATTATTTGGATTCTCATCTCATGAACAATGAAATTTTAGTTTACTTTGATTTGTTTAATATTAAGGCAGTTAAAGGAAATATAAAATATTAGTTTAAACAAAAGTAGGGAATAATGCATACGAAATTATAAGTTTGAAGAAGAGCTTTATTCTAGCAATGAGATGTTCACATTTCCTTATATATTTTAAATATTATTATAATAATATGTTTTAAGGTGAGTATAAAATAAAAAAAATAAAAAAATAATAAATGCTAAGGTTAATATACAAATGTTTTTTTTTTAATTCTGAGAGCTTTATTAAAATCTTATTTGCAAATAAAAAATATAAGCGTGATGCAAAATGTAACGAAATTATTGGAGAAATTTGACAAAATCACAATTTAATTGTGTTAAATTCTTTTAGAACCTATAATATCTATGAGTTCACACAACTAAGTAGAAACCTATGTAAGAACGATGAAAGAAAATGATGTATATATGTACTCCAGGCCTAAACTATACCGAAGGAGAAGATCTAGTAGAAATAGAGGACCAAAAGAGTTGTGCCGAGTGAGGTCCCTTAAAAGGGTTCGAAAAGTGTGACCTCTTCTACACTCTCTCCCTTCCTTTTATATATACACAAGAAAATATTAAAATACAAGTCGCTTCATATAAAGATTTATTCGCGGTTATTTGATGAAAAGATCACCACGTAGTGTTAGACCGCTCATAAATGAAAATGTGACAATATTTGGTGTTAATATTTAATTTTGGATTTCTTATAATTATGACGATTGTTGAGAAGGCAAACAAGGCTAATGAGTTGGGTTAGTCAGTTTGTCATACGAAATTGTTCATAAGTTTACTAATGTAGTTTGCAAAATCAATTTGACAATCAGTTCAAGACAAGTGACACGTGCACACATCGAGGAGTTAGATTTGCGTGTTCCTCAAATAGATTACTTCACCGAAAGCCGTGTCTTTTAGATATCTGCGTTAACCCAGGCTCTTGAGACCTGTTAAGTGAGAATTTTGACCCAAGAAAATTGATTTTTGATATATAAATTATTCTTTTATTTGTGAACGGTAGGGCTGTTAAAAAACTCGTTGTTCGCGAACATTTCGTCTTCGGCTCGCCGGGGAGTTCGTGTTCAAATCGTTCCATAAGCAAATGAGACGAACATGAACAATTTTTTTTCGTTTGGTTTATAAACGAATCAAACACGAACAGTCATTTGTTCAATTGTGTTTTGATCGTCGATCGTGTTCGAATCGTTATTGTTCGAAAGATAAAATAATTTAAAATAGTTATAATATAAAAAATTTATCATATTTTAAAAATAATTATATACTCTAAAAATTATCATATTTTTAAAAATTAAATCCTCTAAATTATAATATGATATTCAGGTTTGCCTCTTAGCTTATATTAAATTCTATAATTTCGTATTTATCTTGAGATTCTCCTCTTAGCTTAAATTTTCTTATATTTTCTTAGATTTATTTAGTTTCTTTGAGTGAAACCTAGTTTTTGGGAGTTAAATCTCGCATATTGCCTCTAGATCTGAATTTTTTTATGGATGAAATATGATATTATGGATTTATTGTGAGCCGTGCTTCCTCTATTTTGCATTTATGCTGTGATTCATACTTGTTTAAGCATTATTTTCTTATAGGTGTAAGCTTTTGAAAGGTTTCGAACAATTCAAACAATACAAACAAATTTGTAAGATTTCGAACAATTCAAACAATTCGAATAATTCAAACAATTTAAACAATTCAAATGTTTCAAACATTTCAAATATTTCAAACATATTTCAAACAATTCAAACCGAACATAAAAAGTAACTTCAAGAACAATTTACACCTCTAGTGAACGGGTAATATTTACACATTTTTGGTATTTGCCAACTTAGTCGGCTTCACATTGATAATGCTGTTTAATGCTCTGTTAATTATTTTAACATTTTTGTTATATTACGCGGTCAAAGAAAATAAGCTATAATTTAATAAATTTATTATTAACTATGTTTGTAATGCCCGTAAAATGTAAGTTTATCTTATTAAAATACTGTAAAATAATTTAATCATATTACTATAAATGTCTTAAAATATATCTGTAGTTAAAAATATTAAATAATAATGTTTGGGGTGCATATAATTATCCGTTAAAACTAATTATGTATGATTAATTACAATAATTTTTTTTAAATTTGTCGTATCAGTCGACCTCAAATATAATAAGATGGGTAAATTAAGAATGTGCTTGCTCGGCTTGGCCTTCGTAGGACTTTTTTTGGCTGCCACGCTCTTCTGCGTTTAATTGCAGATGGGCGGCATAATTGCATGGACATTATTTACTTCTAGGCTTCTTAATGGCCCTTATGGTATCTTCTTCCTTTCTCTGAACGATTGAACGATTGAAGATGCCCTAGGAGAGAGGGAAAGATCACACTTGTTCACCATTTGTTTTTTCGTCGACTATACTGCTTGGAGCTTTGCGGTAGTTTAGAGATTTGGATTCTATACATTAGCGTTCGATTGAAGTGGTAGGTTCTGGCTTTTGTTGTTTTACTCTGGGTTTCAGTTTCCTTTCTTTATGAATTGCTTTTTAATGGAGGTTTAGGTTTTGATTATCTGTTTGTAATAGTTTAGAAGCGTGAATTTTGGTGTCTGTGTTGCGTTAGTGATGGACGGTTCTGCGTTTTGTTTTTTAAAGCATCGAAACGCAAGAGAAGGAAGAAGCCAAGAGAATGGAAGCTGATGTTGGGAAAGGAGATAGCTCAAAGAAAGGAATGGCGGACAAGGGAGAGTCCTTATTTCATTACTCTTCGACCATACTGGTTGCGATCAATGGGACTAAAAGAAGCAAGCTTGCGCTTAAATGGGCTTTGGATGCATTTTTATCTGTGGAGAGAGTTCATTTGAAGCTATTTTATGTTCGTCCGCCCGTCAAAACGATTCCAACTCCAAGTAAGATTTCTTTTGTTTTTATTCTATCTCGATGTATCTATTTGTTAATTAACTGTAATCAATATGGCTGAAATTGAACTATCTGTAGCCAGGCTTTGTATTTGATCCCCTTTAATGTTATTTCTGCAAAAAATATGTCCTCTGTCACATATGAGTCCATTTTTTAGGTAAGAAATATGTAATGACACAGACTACGTCATCTTTTATAATGCATGGGAATGAAGAATCGAAGATTATTGCTGTAAATGGTCATTCATTTTTCCTCCATCATTAGTATTATATTAATTTATATGATATTTGTTATATAATTCATGTCAAGATCTGCACATTGGAAATGGAAAATTGTGTTACATTAGCCATTTTGAATGTTTTTGTGGACATCTATTTCTCATACAAACTATTTTTAAATGGTGAAATGTGAATTTGTTACATGAACAAACAATTAGAAAGAACTTTCTAGTAAAAAGTAAGTAAACAAAATTCATAGGATTAATATGACTTCAAAGTTGAGAAGGTAATATCTATCCTAATGGAGAGTTGCAGACTCACATTCCAGCACTTGCTAAGTCAATAATGTCAAATTCACCATGAGAGTTATTTCAACTAGCTTGAAATCTTAGTTACCCCGAGAGAATAAAGATACTATTTTTCTTAGTTTTATTTCTCATCGAAAAAGCATGAGCTGAAAATTTTTATCCATTAAATCGATGAATTTTGAACATAGCATAAAACATCAACAACTTTCACATCAAATCAATAATGGGTAGCATTATGGAAGACAGTTGTAATGCCATAGATAGATATGCAAGTAGGAATAATTGAGGGGTCCTTAATTGAGATTTAGATTTTCTAGATATAGAAAATATCATTACGCTTAACAATCATATCCGAGGGTAGACAATAACTTTTATTTGGGACAATACTTTTCTCTCCTCATTTTTTTTTTCATTTTTCAAATCAAAACTAGAAAAGTTACGTTGAAATTAATAATTTTTTTCTTTAAAGTTTCATCTATAAATATTTCATAGAATTTCCCTACTTATGCTATAAGTTTTGCAAAACATTTTCACTAGTTGGACTACCTAAGAGAAAATAGAATAAACGTCTCCTACAACACTCAAGATAAATAAATGGAGAATGTGGACTCAAAAACTTGGGTTGAAGTGGTTGGGACAAGGCTATTGATAATAATGAAGATGGCTTGCCCATTCCCATGCCAAATTTATTTAGCTGATGAATGGTTGAATCACGAAATCTTATTGGATTTGGTCTTTTGGTTCTCATCATGGTGTAGATCAGCATGAATTTTCTTGATTTTATTGACAGTTGGTTATACGATTGAAAAAGAATCATTGCTAGTATATAAATCTTGATACTGTCTTGGTTAAAGTATGCTGTTTTTTTCTTATGCGGATAACCTCCATATCTGGTTTTTGTTTTTTTATCTTAAGTATAATATTTAAAATTTGACTATAGTTCGTTGCTTCTTTTTGTTGTTTTTAGTGGGGGCCTTTGTTCCCATTTCTCAAGTGCGTGATGACATAGTATCCGCATACAAAAAAGATATAGAATGCCAGACACGTGCAATGATTTTTCCTTATAAGGAAATTTGCTCGCGTAGAAAGGTGAGGTTTCTATTTGTATATTAGTTGTGGGGTGGTGGATCAAAGTTGCTATAGCTTTTAGTAGGAAGAAGTACTTGTGACTAATTTATTTTTTATTCTAATATGCAGTTAGAGGTGGAAATCGTGGTAAGGGAAGGTGATGATGTAGCAAAAGAAATTGGAAAGGAGGTTGAAAATTTTAATATTTCCAGGCTTGTCATTGGAGCTTCTTCTAGAAATATGATTACAAGGTTCTTGCGTAGCCAGTTTCTTTACATGAATGCCTAGCTATTTTCTGAAGAAGATTTATTGAAATTTGTTTAATTTATGTTTTGAAAATTACGGTTTGTAATCGAAGAAACCCTCGTTGCAAATCTTAAGCCTTATCAAAATTTACTTCTTTTAAACTATCAATATCGATATATTTCAATATCCTTGTCAGATTTATATGTGCCATAGTTTTGTGAGCTGTGAGAATGTTTATGATGCATAAAGAATATTTGCTCATAAAATGTACTGATGTTGCTCTACTTTGGATATGGCATTGCGGCTTTAAGAAACATTTTTAGATGTGAATGTCATAAAAGCATTTTTAATTGTAAAAATATATTCAATCCAAATTAATATGGATGGTTGGATACTGTTCATATCTTAACAAAAAGGTTTCACAACCCCTCAGATTTGTTCAATGCAGGAATTTTTAAATTATTTTGGTGGAATTTATCTAGTCATACTTTTGAGAGGTTGGCAACAATTGGGTCGTCTTTGGTAATTAATTAATTAAATTATTTTTTGGGAATAAATGAGACCTGTAATTCTATCGTGGTCTCATTCACATCACTTGAACCAATGTTAGAGGCCGTTGGTTGACAGGGAAGAAATTTTTTTTAATATATAAATTTGAGGCATGTAAAAAGATGGCTTTTGGATTCAATTCAAATTCCTGTTTTCAATTATGTGTGGCTGTTGGATATGAGATTTTCTTGAGCTTAAATTTTAGGGAATGCTGGCTCTTTTGACATGAGACTTGGATCTTCGTCACCTTGGTGATATCTTTCATTTATCTTTTTCTTCTAAAGTATTTTGTTATCAATGTTGTAGGTGTCTTGTTCTCTGGTCAAATTTACTCTAGTGAATGTTTCAATTGCGGTGTAAAATTTTAGTTGTTAGTTGATTTTTGGGGTTTCGAATTTTCCATTTGATTTCCTATAATTCAATCAATATTTGCATTATTTTTTGGTTCAAACTTAATATATTTAGATTTACATCAAAGGAGGGTGCATTTTTTGTGTATTTAGCAGTCTGTGATTTTTTTTTTTTTTTTTTGTGCGGTTTATATTCATTGCATTATCTAAAGTTGCATTAGATAGCATTATCTAAGTTGCATTAGATACTCTAAACCATTTAGCTTCCTGGGCATGTACCATCAGAAGAAATCAATGTTGTGCATTGCCTCACATAAATACTTTTGTAGTTTTTTTTTTTATTTTTTTGTGCTGTACAGACATATATATTCCTTGTCCTCACATGCTGATACTACTATATTTTTCCTATGTATTAAGTTCTGCAAACTTTCTTTTTTACTTCATGTTGACTCATAAGATATATTTCTTGTTAAGTCATACTTTAGAACTGTGGAACTTTGCCAGAGTTATGTCCAGATCAACTCATTTTTGACATGTTATATGAAGCTTTTAAATTTGATAAAAAAGTATAGAAATAGTGCTTTACATGCTTTCACTGGTTTATGATAATCATTGTTAATGTTTGTTTCTATGAAAATTCGATTGATTTATTATAAAATTACTGATTCAAGAGATTTAGGACCATTTCTTTTTATAAAACTTGCAAATTATTGCAACCCATTATTGTCCCTTAACAATGCTATTAGTGAACGTGACCTATAAAGTATGAGAAAGGTGGCAAAGCAGCTCAGACTCTTTGCAGGGGTTCATTTTAGTCTAAGAGTATATATAAGTGCCAATCCAGTCCTCAGACTATTTTAATATGGGCTTAAATCCTGAGGACTATTTCAGCCCAAATTTAAAAGTCTGTGGTTTAATTTAACACTTTTATAAACTCTTGAGACTAAAATGACCCAATTAAACAGTCATGACTATTTTTATATTTTACTCTGTAAAACATAAAACTGTTGACCAGCGGAAAACCCATATCAGATTTAGCGTCCCTCTTAACCTTAGCACACATAAATAAAATATTTTAATTCTCTTAAAACAGTAAACTGCCCAAACAAAAGGAAACTTTTGGAAATATAATGTATAGTTTCTTTTAAAACAGTACCCTTATCTCTTACAAGCTTCGTCATAGTTTGATTTTAGTTAGGATAATGTTGATGCTCCCAAACATTTATTAAATGTTTATTTGCTATATGACATATTTTATATGTATGAAAAAATCAGAAATTAACTGATATCTCCTATGTTTGTAGGAAACTTAAAGGCATCAAAATGTCCAACAAGATTTCTGAGAGCACTCCGAACTTCTGTACTGTTTTTGTGATTAGAAAAGGAAAGCTTTTAGCTGTGCGCACCAGGACAGATGAAAGATCCAACAATGAGAGAATTTGTATCAGTTCTTCATGCAATTCAGGTAATCAAAGCTTTTTGTCTGATCCAATATATATCAAGAAAACAGAAGTCCCAACACTACTTACAATTACTTTTTTTAATAGTTTTTTCTAATAATTTGTATATATTTTTTATTGAATAAAATAAAATAATTATTTCTTTTAATTTGTATATAAAATATGCAAATTGTTTTCTGATTTATTTGTAAAACTTTTAAGCATCTAAAAACCTTTTATCTCTGAATTCAGGAATCTTGCTCTCTTTGAATTTAAGATTAAAATTAAAAAGTGTGTCACAAAGGTTTCAATCATTGTCATGACATTGTTTTTTGCTCTCATGTCATATACTGTTTCTTTCATAAATCAAACCCTTTTCGTCATAATATCTCATTAAAAAGTGAATTACATGACTTAAAGCAATTGTTAGGCATGTTCTCATACTCTATCTTCTTCATTCAGAATCAGTGGATGCAGATGCCTTACAAAAGTCATTAAATCCTCCGAATATGCACGTTCAAATCCCCCGCGTTGAAATTCTTTCCACCGAAGATAACAAATCTGATGACACTGGTAGCCCTTGCAGCATCCTCCATAGTTCTATTTCCTCAAACAGTGAGGATGATATCAGCACTGTCAGTTCATCCACTTACGAGTTGCAGAGCAGCAAATCCAAAATGTCTAATTATAGATATCATGGTGCAAATTTCAATTCATCTGAGTTGGGTTGGTCCGCAATGTCGAATGATTTGAGCGAATCCTTATTACCAGGGCATAAGGTAACCGAGCACACCTATAAACACAATGTTAAAGTGTTGGATTTACATACATAACCACTCAATTCCTATGTATTTCTATCTAACACAACACCTAAACTTAAATTTTTTACTTACATACCATCCTATCTATACATTAAAATTGTTGTTTTTTGTGATGTGATATGTAAAATTTCGTTGTTAGATTGGGTGGTACGTATGTAAATGCCCTTAAAGTGTTTTATTGGTCATTCATCTTCTCTGGAACTTTTCCATATTTTTAAAATTTTATTTTGAGCTTAAAAACTGAGTTGAGAAATGATCATGCTATATGCTTGAGACGCACAAACTGAAATCATCATTTTGTTTCTCATGAAGTATGTTTTAATGCTTGAAGTTTTACAGTTTGGTCATCATCACTATTTTATGATTAGCTCCCATCACTATTTTATAATTAGCTCCTTTCTTTTAAAATAGTTGAATGAACTAAGCCATGATGAGGAAAGGGCCAGTCTAAAAGAGAATAATAGCATCAAAATGGAGGCCAAAAACTTTGATTTATTTGCGAAGAAATGCATCAAGGAGGCATCAATGGTTAAAACAACACGTAAACCTGAAGACAAACAAACTCTGGAAAGATCTATTTCCAGCAATAACAAGAAGTACAATAACTATACTTGGGAAGAGATAGAATCTGCCACCTCATCATTTTCTGATGCACTAAAGCTTGGAACAGGGGCAAATGGAACAGTCTACAAGTGTAACTTCCATCATGAAATCGCTGCTGTGAAAATTCTCAACTTAAATGAGGAATGTGGAACCAAGCAATTCAAGCAAGAGGTTGATAGCTGCTCATAAATGAGTAAACTGCCAAAATAGTCCCCTGACTATTTACATATTTTAGCCTGAAATATATAAATATGCTAAATTAGTCCCCAGACTGTTTAAAAATGGGCCAAAATTGTCCTCACTTGGTACTAGTTAAACCATATTAAAAGAGTATAGGGGCTGAACTAACACTTTTATAAACTCCAAGACAGAATGCACGTCTTGCAAGAGTCAGGAAACTATTTTGACTCTTCTCTCGCTCATAAATTATTTCAACCTGGCTTGAAATATTGATTGAACTAAGGCTCAATGTACCTACAATATGAGTTCGAGAAAAGTGTTAAATTACATGGGCCCATTTTAGTCCCAAAGTCTATAAAAGTGTCAAGTTAGCCCCTGTACTCATTTAATCTGGTTCAAATAGTTTCATTAGAGGATTATTTTAACCTCTTTAAAAGAATATGGCCACTGAATTAGCACTTCTATAAATTACAAATAGTCATGAGACTATTTTGACACTTTTCTCATATGAGTTCCTTATGCTAAACTTTTACTTTCTTTTCTCAAACTTCTAAATCCATTTTTTCTCTCCAGGTTGAAATTCTGACTAGAATTAGCCACCCTCACATTCTTACGCTGCTCGGAGCTTGTCCTACGAGAGGCTGCTTAGTTTACGAGTACATGAAGAATGGCAGTCTTGATGACCGCTTGAAATGCAAGTATAACACACCCCCACTTCCATGGTATCACCGTCTGAGGATAGCTTGGGAGGTCGCTTCAGCTCTCGTTTTTCTACATCATTCGCAGTTAGTGCCGATTATTCATCGTGATCTCAAGCCTGCGAACATCTTGCTTGACGAGAACTTCGTGAGTAAAATTGGTGATGTTGGTCTATCCACCTTACTTCCTTCGGCAAATTCCATTATCACGGCTCCTGTTGGGACTTTCTTTTACATAGACCCCGAGTACCAGAGGACGGGCTTGGTGTCACCAAAATCAGATATTTATGCTCTGGGGGTGGTCATTCTGCAGTTGTTAACTGCGAAACCACCAATGGGGCTTGCCCACACTGTAGAAATGGTGATGGAGGATGGCGAGCTGATGGAGATTTTGGATCCTAAAGCTGGGCAATGGCTTAAAGGGCTGGCAGAGGAATTGGTTCTTTTGGGATTAAGTTGCTTGGAACTAAGACCTGAGGACCGACCTGACTTGAAAGATCAGGTTCTTCCAGTTCTGAGAAGACTTAAAGAGATGGCGGATGAGGTCAGCTATTTGGGCTTTGAAATTTGTGTCCCGGGTTCAAAGTATTAAGGTCAGTATACTCCTAACAATTGCTATTAAATTGGGAAATTTACATACATACCACACTATTTTTATTTATTTACATATCTAATACCACCTAAAGTTTGATATTTAATATCTAATACCTAAAGTTTGATATTTACATTTTTAACATCTTGCTGTCTGCTGCGATCCGATCTCAAAACATGTTTTTTTTATAGAAATTAGGGCAAAATATTATTTTCTTCAATACTCCAAACAACTCAACAAAAATACAAAAGATAACCACTTACAATTTGAGAGCTAGGCCATCTCTCCCAATCCTTACAATTCGAGAGGTAGGAAAATCTCTTCCAAACCCTAAACTTAAGACTCACAATTCAATCTTCATACATACTTCAAACCTAAATATAATAAGCTTATTTATACTCAACAACAACAATAATAAAAGATTAAATTGCCCTTAGACTTACAAAAAACAAATTTGCCCTTAGACTGAGTACTGACGTAACAATATTCTTGCCCCCAAAAGACACCTTGTCCTCAATGTGGGAAAAAGTGAGAGTGTTCCTCCTCCACCACAACTGATTCTATTTTTTCATCCTTTGCCTTCTCGTCGTGCACCATGAAAACTTGTAATTTTCGATCATTGCAAAGATGTTATGGGGTAAACTTCTCATCACACCTAAAACATAAACCCTTTGCTCGCTACTCAAGAACTACTTTCTCTGTTAGACGCTTGAGTGTCGCTCCCGGGCGTGACCCATTATTCATGTCCCGTACTTCCTCCCTCAGGACTTCCAATGTTGAGCTTTTGGTATTGTCGTGGTTGAAGCAGATCGGTACGTGGCCCCATCTGTGTTGCTCTTGCTGTCCTTCCTCATCTGGTTTTTGCCTTCCATCATCTGGGCGAGCTCCATCGTCTCCCTCAATCCCCACGGTCTCAATAGTCGGAGATCTGCCCATATGTCGAGCTTTAGGCCCTTCATGAAATTACCCTTCAATTATGCTTCAAAAATCCTCATAGTTGTCTCGATAATAGCTCAAATCTCTCATTGATCGTCCCCTCCTGATGTAGGTCTCCTTTCCAAATGACTTGAAAACGTTCCAACAAACAATTCTTAAATTTATTCCATAAACTGATCATGTATGTAGCCTCCCTTCACTGAAACTAGGTTAGGGATTTTCACTCCAAACATGATCCAGCCGCCATAAGTTTCTCCTCCCAATCTAATCTATTTACCGTGAAGCATCGCTCCACCCGATACACCCAACTATATTCATCTTTCCTCTCAAAGATTGTCATCTTCAACTTCCTAACCCTAGCATCTTCACCCCAACTTCCTCTCCCTCCCTCGTTTCCCCCCATATTATATTCGCCCATGAGCCAGTTTTGAATCTTTGTTGAGTCGATCAATCCTCTCATTTCCTACCTCTCAACCGATCCCTTCAGAGATCTCTATTTGCTTCAGCTTCCATCTCCATTGATCCTCTCTTTTTGTGATCCGTTTCTCAAAATCTTGAGTTCTGATACCAATTTGACACAATTTGACCTCAAAATCACACTTCTCCACAAAAATTAGGGCAAAATATTATTTTCTTCAATATTCTAAACAACTCAACAAAAATGCAAAAGATCAACACCTACAATTCGAAAGTTAGGCGAGGTCTCCCAATTCTTACAATTCAAGAGGTGGGAAATCTCTCCCAAATCCTAAACCTAAGATTCACAACTCAATCTTCATGCATACTCCAACCCTAAACATAATAAGCTTATTTATACCCAACAACGATAATAATAATAAACTAAATTACCTTTAGGCGTACAAAAGACAAATTTATCCTTAGGCTTGGTACCGGTATAACGCTGTCATTTCCCTATACTTGAGAAGTGTACTTCACTTTTGCAAAGATAACGATGGTGGTATTTAGTAATGTATCTATCATCACCATTTTCACCATTATAGCTGTTATCCTTTACTATTTTGAGGCAGCCTTATTACTTTTCTTTGTTCCAGCCAACTTTTGCTTGAAATTTTATACTTAATCTTTATAAATTTTGAAGGGAATATGAATGTTCTAGGAATATTTAGTTGTTATGATATGAATCATATACCATATACGGACAGATGCTGGAACGAAGCGGAGCGGAGCGGAGCGGAGCGGAGCGGAGCTGAAGAATCTGTCCAAATCGGGAAGTTACGTTATGTGGGTTGGGGCTATACGGTACAGAGGTAATTTGGGAATTACATATTGTATTAGGGTTTTTACTCTAGGATTATAAATAAACCTGTTTGTAATCCTAGGTCTTTGAGAGAGCTGAATCTTGTATTATGTACTCTTTTCTGAATATTGAAAAGGAGGTCGCCGCTCTGCTCCTGAGGATGTAGGCATCTTTGCCGAACCTCGTTAAATCTCTGTGTTCTTTTGAATTTGTGTCGTTCTTGTTTTTCTTCTCCCCAATTTCTCAACAAGTGGTATCAGAGCCGGGGTTTAGGGGAAGAAAATTTTTGGCGGCATAGGAAGAAAGAAGATTTGGCAGCTAGATTTTAAGAATTCCAGGTGTTCGGCGAATTGCGGCTTGCGAGAAGATCAGGAGGCGCGGAAGATTGCTTCCTCCTTTCCAGTCGGCGAACAAACGGATCGCCTGGGTTCGCGAACAGAAGGATCGCGACAGAGAGCCTCGCGGTGTGGAAGGCTTCGGTGCGGAAGAAATCGGTGCGGAAAGCTGCTAGGGAGTTGTCCGACTTGGGAAGGAGCGGAGGATCGCTACTACAGGGCCTAGTTCGCAGACGCACTATTCCCGCAGGAGGCGGGAGACGGAAGAAAGAGTTCGTGTCGCAGGAGGGACTTTCGTGCTTCTGTTTCAGCGACAAAAATGAATCTTTTCTTCTGTGCATGGATCTGAAAAGGAAGGAAGTTTTGCAAAGGAAGGTTCGGCGCATTCGTGAAAGGAATGTTCTCTTGGAGAAATTGGAAGGAATCTTCCCATTTGTTTCCTTTGCTGGTTCGATTCGTTTCCTTTGGAGGCTGCAGAGAAGAAAAATGAATGAAATCAATAAATTCTTATCACGCTGAAGAAATGAAAGTTTTTGAATATTACTTAATTAAAGAAAATTTGTTTTTTAATTAAGTTGATTTAAAGAAAATATTTAATTAAGGAAACTTAATTAAAATTTTCTTTGTTGGATCTGCGGAGGTGAGATTTCTTTTGCTGGAGACTGAAGAAAGGAAATGATTTGAAATTCAGTTAATTAAATGAAATATTTAATTAAGGGAATATTTTAATTCTTTTTTAGAAAGATTTTGTTGCTTCTTTGGAAAACTTAATTAAGGGAAAATCCTTTTTCTTGGAAACTTAATTAAGAAATATTAATTAAGGGATTATTTAAAAGGATTTGTGGCATAATCAAAGTACAATTTCTGGCTCAACAAGGAATCTTGCGGAGAAGCAAGCTTGGAAGTATTTAGAAAATTTGGAAGTATTTTCTGAATTTTCTTGGCTGGAGAAAGAAAATCTTGGCTACAACGCAGAAAAATATAAAATTTTGTGGATTGTGCGCAAGGCAGACGGGCTCGCGAGAACGAACAGATGCGAAACAGTTCGGATAAAGAGCTGCGGCAGTTCGACGAGTTATGCTTCGGGGAGTTCGCGGTAGAGGCGGCGTCGCGACTTCGAGGCGTGACAGTTCATGAACCTTCGCGGCATAAGGCGAGGTGGAGTTCGCGAACAGGAGTTCGTGTGCAGTTACCGTGAACAAGAGCGTTTGCAAACAGAAGAGTTTGGTGATGTTCGATCAGCGGAGTTTGCAAGTTCGTCGCAGGAGGAGTTGCGACAGGTGGAGTTCGATAGGGTGTTGGCGAGCGAGCAGACGTGATTATTCGCGAACAGTGGTTTCGCGGGGATATTTTGCAAAGATATTCGCAAGGTGGAGATTTTCTCCTAAGGGGCAGGATGTTCGCAAGGTGGAGATATTTCTCCTCAGAGGCTGAATATTCGCAAGGTGGAGATTTTCTCCTAAAGGGCAGAATATTCGCAAGTTGGAGATTTTCTCTTAAAGGGCAGGATATTCACAAGGTGGAGATTTTTCTCCTAAGGGTTTGAATATGCGCAAGGTGGAAATTTTCTCCTAAAAGGCTGAATATTCGCCAAGGTGGAGAATTGTTAGGTATGACTCATAATACTAGAATTTGGAGTTTTTTGAAATGAAGAGACGTCTCTTGTAATTAAAGGGGTGTGTCTCTTGGAATTTAGTGGGTTGAGATCAGCGAGGGCGCAGCAGAAACATGATGGCCCAATCCACATTGGTGCAGGTGTAACTCCCAGGTATCTTGTTATGATATGACTCATATACCATATAGGGACAGATGCTGGAACGAAGCGGAGCGGAGCGGAGCTGAAGAATCTGTCCAAATCGGGAAGTTACGTTATGTGGGTTGGGGCTGTACGGTACAGGGGTAATTTGGGAATTACATATTGTACTGTAGGGTTTACTCTCAGATTATAAATAAACCTGTTTGTAATCCTAGGTCTTTGAGAGAGCTGAATCTTGTATTATGTACTCTTTTCTGAATATTGAAAAGGAGGTCGCCGCTCTGCTCTCGAGGATGTAGGCATCTTTGCCGAACCTCGTTAAATCTCTGTGTTCTTTTGAATTTGTGTCGTTCTTGTTTTTCTTCTCCCCAATTTCTCAACAAGTGGTATTAGTAATGTTAAACTGGAGAAAATATCATCGTCATCACCATTATAACCATTATTTTTATCCTAAATTATAGTCAGTCTCATCACTTTTCAGTTGTTCCTACTAAATATTGCTTAATGTGTTAAACTTATTATTTGTGATCCTGAACTACTTCTATCCATATTATCTTAGGTCGAACTCAGACTCCTCTTTTTCGAAGTCCTCTGACACTAATTTTATTTATTTGTTTAATGGGTATATTTTCAATTGTTTGTTGTACATATTCAAATCATTTAAGTTTATTGATGTGGTATCTTATAGTGTGTAGGGTCGGCTACTGCATACCTAG